GAGGGCGGGGGCGGGGCGATGCCGAGGAGGAGGGGCGTGCCGGGGCGGGGCGTGCCGTGCCGGGGCGGGGCGATGCCTCCTCGCGCTCCCGCCTGCGCTCCCCGCCCGGCGCCCCACGAGCTGCACTCGCCGGGAAGACGGCGCCGCTGGCGGCTGCTTCTGTCGCTGCGACCGCTGCCCTCCCGCCGCGCGTGGGCTCTGCAGCCTCGGCCGGCCGCGGCCTTGACCCCGCCGGCGCCCCAGCCTTCCGGGCCCTGCGTGGACGCTCGCTGTGCCCCGCGCAGATCTGGCCGGGGCGCCCAACTTTGCCAGCTCGCCCATCACTGCGGGCGGGACCTGCCTACCCCCTGAGCCGGACCCTGGAGCGGGTGCCCGGCCGGTGAGGCGTGCGGGGCGGCCCCAGGGAGCGGCAGGATCCGGCCGCCGCGCGCTGGGTGCCTGGCGCGAGGCGCGCAGCCTTCACCGGTGAGCGAGCGGCTGGTGCCCCGTGGCGGTGGCGGGGCCGGGACCTGGCGCAGGGCTGGGGCGGCGCGGGCGTGGGTGTCGCGCGGTCGCACCCGGGCCGTGCGCGGTAGGCCTGGCAGCGGGGCGCCCTCGGAGGAGCTGAGTGCGCCCGGTGGAAGTTTGCTCCTGGCTGTCTGAGGGGGCTGAGCGCGCAGAGGTGAGAGCGCGGCCCGAGCCTGCCCGGCGCGGCCGAGGGTTGCGCGGAGAGGTCGGCGCAGCCACCGCGTCGGGACCGGCGTTTGGGGACCGGCGGGCGTGCTGCGCAGCCCGGGTGGGAGCCGCCTGGCGGGGCTGCCCGCCCTCCTCACGGGGCCTCGCGGCGAGCAAGCGGCGGGCGCCGGGCTGGGGCGCAACTCTCCGCTCAGCGCTGTGGTGGACGAGGAAGACCCGGGCAGGGAGGCGGAGCCCAGGGAGGCGCCTGCCGGTGGCGCCGGGGGAGCCGCTCCTCGGCTCTCAACCCTGGGCTTAGGGTGTTGAGGTCGGAGACAGATCCGGGCCCGCGGGGAACCGTTCCTTCTAAGATGTGCGGGGGCGCCGTGGTCTAGGAGCGATCCCTGGGCCGCCAGTGCGGAGCTGAGCGCGGTTGGAACCCGAGACCCGGGGTTTGGCGGGAACCGCGTTCACGTCCTCGCTAGCGCCGGGTCGCTTTGTACCTGGATGCGGCTGCCCGGAGTCGGTGTTTAACTTTCCTGAGCCCGCGGTGTCCCGGGGGTTCCCGGCAGGGGGCGCTGAGAGCGAGCGCGGAGAGGGAGCTGGTCCCGCGCGGGTCTGGGCTCCGGCCGGGTTCGGGTCTGGCGCGGGTCGGGCCTTGATTTCACATCGCAGACGGAGGGCACCAGTGTGCTTACCGAGGAGGCCTCGAGCCCTCTGAGTAGAAAGAGCCTTTCGGAGACAGTTGTGTTCTGCAAACTCTCTCGTCTGCGCATCTGACTTTCTCCCTGTGATTATCGCATTTATCTAGAAATAAGTCGACAGGGAATAGCAATAGTTACCTTGAACGCAAACACGAAGTTCGACTCCTTAGGAATATATTAGAGAAACACCAAGAATTACGAATGATTGCTGCCGTTTATTTTTCAAGAAAAACGATTGTGGGAAGAACTCTTGTTTTAATGGCTGAGCTTGGGAACAGCAGAAGTGTTTGCTATTAATTTCAGAGTTAGTCTTTCATAAAGAGCCGCAGAGAGACAAAACCACACAATATCTTCAATAGGAAAGATTTTTTAATATACTTAGGATTGAAGTAATTGCTAATAAATGCCACTTTCGTTATTTAAGAGGCAGAGTTTTGCTTTCAAAGCTTGGTAACAAACAGCTCATGCCTTCAGTTACCCGTGACATCCTTTTCCTTATCCCTGCTTGTATTTACCCTAGAAGAACCAGTGACCCCCCCCGCCCCCCCGCCCCCCCCAGCACACACGAAGTTTTTGAAGCTTTGTTTTTCATGAAGAAGCAGTCCTAAACCTGGTTGGTCCACTTTTTTTCCTGAAGCTCGTTTCTTGTAAAAACTAGGAGCGTGGCAGCTCCTTTGGTGCTGCTTGTAGTCACCCTGTCTACTCATAAACTGTGGAGCTGACAAACTCCTACACTTGAGATGCTTTCAGCCAACACATACTTTTCTTAATAGGGAGAAGATGGATGATGCTAATCATTTTATGCCTTGTATGAACTGCACTAACTTGTTCCGTGGTTTTAATGGTAAACAGCTGCAAGATCCCTGCTGTGAGCTAAGACTTTGGCTTCCTGGGTGGGAAGCATGTCCCTGTCCAAAGAAAGTTTTTGAGATATTCAGAATTTGGTGAAAATAAACCTATGTTCTTCACTGCTGTTTCCCTTTCAAATGGTGTCTTCACTTCAGCTCTAGGGAATGAAACAGCTACAGTGCAGAGGCTGCTAAAACCAGGATAAGGGCATTCTTCTGAGCTTTTCTGTAAGTTTTAGACACACATGGACCTGGTGAAGCCCCATCCATAGGTTTGCTGCTTTTCTTCAGATTCTCTTCAACCTCCTGCTGGGGAGGAGCAAACGTTAAAACCTGCAGACCTCTGTGCTGTGTGTGCTAGTTGCTCAAAAGAGACGGCATCTCCTTGGAAACCATGTCAGATACTCCTCACGTCAGGAAGCCTGGCTTATCTGAGCCGTTATGTACTTTTAATTAACTTGATGATTATGCTTCATGATTCCAGATTTCTTCTTGAAGGGGTCTTAAAGGCACTGAAGTTGGGCCTTTGGCTCTGATACAGGAAGAGGTGGGAGGGAAGAGCAGAAATCTGCTAAATGTCCTGCCCAGTATAAAGACTTTCTGTTAGGTAAACAAGTGATCATGAGCTCCAGAGCTCTCAGAGACCAGAAACTAATTCCAAGGAAGAAGGTTTGGATTTTAAATTATACAGTGTGCAAGATAGAGCAAATTAATAATTCTTAATACATCCCAGTCAAGTAATCTCATTACAGTAGTGTGCGTAAAACTATTTAAGAAAGGCATCCCTACAGCTTGCATGAAATTCTCTATAATTCTTGATTCTAAAATTATACCAAATTTGTATTTAAAATGCTTCTGAAATTGTTGCTATAGTTACCTAGATGCATTCCTTAGGATATAATTATAATACTAAGGTGAAGAGTTTTTATGTTTAGCATTCAATAGTGTTTAAAATGTTAATTATGGTGTCTAACAAATTCAGTTGTGACAAAGTGTTAAGTGTCTAATGGGGAACCTTGTACAATTTACTCATCTGTATCTCCTTGCAGAGTTTTATAAAGTTAACTGTGTCTTCTGGAACTGAGTGCATATAAGTACTTGAAGTTGTTTATGCTGTTTTGAGTAATGTTGACAAAATAGTCGTTTTCACGTATGTGCCCAGCAACCTTTCTGCATTGAGACGCGGAAGTCTGGTTGGAAAATTGCTGGTTTCCATCACCGTCCTACCCTGCAGAAGTGCTGTGCTTTAGACAGCAGGCAGTCCGTGGACTGGTAACAGCGGAGATCAGCTCAACAGGTGATGGCTAGCTCTTTGGAAAGCAGTTGGAAAAAGCAGCCATTGTTATGCTTTCGGCATCATTTATTTCATCTACGAACCTTCTAGTCACTGGTTGACCAGATGCACAAAATCCATTTCTGATAGCAAGAAAGGAAGACAAAGATAAGTAAGCTGGGATATACCTACAGTGAGCCTCTTCAAAGTTTGTTTTACTCGGAGGATAAACCAAACAGAGCAAATCAAAGGAACAACTTCATATAAGAGACGATACAGGGTGATGAGTAATTTATTTTAACATATGGCTCTTGACACAGTCTTTGCCATCTGAAAGGTTCTAGCACTCAGGAAACCTGCCTGTCCATTTCACAGGGTATTTTGAAGCCAGGCAACTTCAAAGGCCAGTTGTATTTCACCTGGAGCACAACATTTAAAGCAGGATTAGTGGAACACTGGGCTCAAGAAAATCACAACGTCCCAAAGGAATTGCTGTCATCTTTCTTTTTCTTTTTTTTATCCAAGATTAATAGTTGTTTGACAAGAGCAAAGATGAGCATATTTTATTTCCCTCTTCTATGTTGTGAAACATATTGGCACTGTACTTACTGCTGCATGTGGAAAAGTAAAATTGCTCCTGTTTTACTTTCTCCACATGGACTAGAATTGCTTTTCTGATTAATATTGAAAAAAGAAACTATTTTGAGAAAGAATACTTTTTTTAAGAGGGTGAATTCCTTTTATTTTTGGTTGTGAACCCAGGGATCGTTTGTCTTCCCGTCTTTCATTCCTTATTTGTCCCTGTCACTCGGTAGAGTTGGCTAAGCTACCCTTCCTGCAGAATAATGAGGAAGCAGACACTGCAACAATCTTATTTTATGTTGCATTTTTATGTACATTTGGGAGTAAATCCCATTACTGCAATAGGTAATTCAATTACAGATGGAATGATAAATAGCCAGGAGAATGATGTTATCCAGAGCCAGCTCTGTTGGAGAAATAATACTGCATTTGCTGAGATGTGAGTTAAGGAAGTTATAGGCAAGTGACAGTCAGGACAACTTGTTTACAGGCAATAGAGCTCCTTTTGATCAGTTCAGATCCACCCAGCTTTTGGCAGTAATACATGAGGTACTTATGGAAAGGAAAACAAAAAATGATAATTCTAAGTGGTTTCTCACAGTTTTCTGCAGAATCATAAATGGTTAATGCTCGGCTAAAACATTCACTCTTTGGAACCACCAGAAGAATGTGTTCCTCACAAACTGACTCCAAATAAAACTCTACACAAAGAACTTTGCTTTCTGTGAAAAACAAACAAGCCTGGGATGGTGGCATACACCTGTGATCCCAGCACACTGGGAGGCTGAGACAGGAGGATCACAAGTTCAAGTCCAGCCTGGGCAATTTAGTGACTTAGGGAGACATCTCAAAAATAACCAATAAGAAAAGGAATGGAGATACAGCTCAGTGCAAAGGCCTTGGGTTTAATCCCTAGTACCACAAAAAAAGCGAACAAGCAAACAGTGCTCTCAGAGTTGTCTAGCCTTTACCAGTGTTCTTCAAACTTTCTGCGCAAAGCAATCACAGCAAAGACAAGACTGTCAAGCATCCCGTAACCAAACGGGTTTTAGAAATGCCACTGGCTTTTTTTTTTGGTACCTGGGATCGAACTCGGGTCCTTGTGCTTGCGCAGCAGGCAGCGAAACCACTGAGCTAAATCCCCGACCTGCCACTGGCTTTTTGATTCCTTTTGTAGGACCAAGATTTAGAATTACCACGAAACTTTACAGATTCTAAGCTGAGAACATTATAACTAGTGGCATAAAGAGAACACCCTCTGCTGTGGGTGTTCATCTTCCCTTGTCCAGCACATGCTGTAATCAAGCCGTTGTTCATGCTGATTGACAGAGGAGTGAGAGCTAAACAAGGATTTGCTTCTGAGATGTCACCTAAACCTTGTGCATTCTAGCTGTGACCTGATTTAAGAAAGTTGGAGTTCTAGGAAGCTGGAAGACCTGCCAAGAGCCTGTGGTTTAGTGGGGATTCTTCCTGGACAGATAGAGCAGTGCAGGAGACCCCTCACTGGCAGCAGAGGGGACCTGCAACAATGGCTCACTTGTTTCCCCGGAAAGAGGGCGGTGGTAGTAGATGGATTCACAGTTGCAGAGGTGCCAGCTGCGAATGGGTGGTGTGAGCAGGAGCAGTGACCGCGACACCCTTGTCCTTGTCCTTGTGTGTCTCAGGAGTTGGGATATCTGTGGGGACCTTGTGGGGAATGGCTGGCCCTGCAGGCGGCCAAGGTGGAGGAGCAGCACCCACATCTGCATTGTGCATGGCTCCTGCAGAGCTGCACCTGCAGTGGGAGCTGAGAGCACCTTGTGTGAGTGACTAGGTGTCACCAGGCAGGCCCCTGGGTAGGACGGTGCGGGACACCCTGCTAGAGGGAGGCTATGGAGTGGAGCACAGATTGAGGGAAGGAGGCAGTGCTCTGTGGACTTGCAAGCCAGTGTGACTGGTGCCTGCCCAGTGTGTGTCCCCAGCGTGTGGCATTTCTGCTGCTTACATCAGGATGGGTACGTGGGCCTGGGATCTGCAGAGGGAAGGAATTCCCTTCCTGGGATGTGAGGGGAGGGTGTGCTCCACAAGCTGGGAAACAGGGTGAGCTGTGTGGCCATGGCTCTGTGAACAGAGTTGCCCATGTCCCTCCTGCCTCCAGCCCTTCCACCCTCTCTGGCTACCTTCTTTCCTCCCGCTTGGAAGGCTTTTCCCCACTTTCCTGCGAGGCTTGCTGCCTCCAGGTCTGGCTGCCTGATGTCTGTGCTCTGTGTCCTCATCTTCAGGAAGGCATCTCCAGATAGCACGAACCAAAATAGCCCTCCCCTCCCTGAGCTGCTCTTTGTCTCCTGATTGCATGGTGCAGCAGCCCACACGTCGTATTTATTTCTTACCATCTCTTGCCAGCCGTGTTGTTCATTTCCGGGTCCCCAACAGTGCTGAAGACGGTACCTGGCACACAGGAGATCCTCAGGCTACAGTGAATCAGTGACTGAATGGATAAATCCTCTTTATGTTCACACGTACTGTCCGCTGCAACAGAGCATCTTCAACACAGGTCTGTGGCTTAAGACGTTTTGCAGCGAACCACGCTGAGCACTATTTACACTCTTTATAGGGGGAAAAGAGTTTCATATACCTCAAAATTGATTTATTAGGTCTTGAAACAGTTGCATTTGAAAGATGGGGGCAGGGGACCCTGTAATGTTTCATTTGTTCTAAACAAACTTCTCAGTAAGGAGTTGCTTTGCTAAATGATTTGATAATTCTGCTTGACTTGGAATTTAGCAAAAAAAGACTTTTTGTGTCATAAAACATACACAATGGAAATTCAGGACTGTGGTTTACTTACTTAATCCCTAACCTCACACACTGACAGAGATTCCAGGGAACATATTGTATCCTTATTACGTATTCACACATTAAATATTTTAGATATTCTAGAATGTTTTAGCAGTATGACAGGTTTTCTTATTTTATTAATCAAGCCAATCAACCCTGTCACTTGGTTGAGTTTATAGATTAAATAGGCTGAAACAGGTGAATGAATACACAAAGTGTGGTACATCCATTCAGCAGTGAAGTGAGTGCACCCTTGGTCCATTTTGCTAAGTGAAGGAGGCGAGTCACAGTGTGATAGGAGCCCGTGTAGACAAATGTCCAGCAAAGGTGAACCTGCTACGAAGGACAGCGGGCAAGGGCTGCCTGGGCTTGTGTGACACAGACTGGCAGGCAGCCTCCTCTGGGGCGATGGAAGTGTCTGTAATGAGATTGTGGAGAGAGTGGCACAGCTCTGTCAGTTTACTAAAATCATTGAATTGTACACTTACAACGAGTACACTTTACAATATGTAACTTATATACCTCAATAAAACTGTTAAAAAAAAGTAAATATGGGATATACTCTGTAATGGTAGAGTAAATTAAAACGCCAGCAGCTGAAACGCAAGCCCTGCTGCATGCACTAACTCCTGTTCTGTATTTCCGCTGCAGGCAGGAGGTGAGGTAAGCAGCCTTTCTTGGGTGCCGGGGTGTTTCCTTCCTGGAAAGTGCACAAGAGCTGTGAGCTCTGTTTTGAAAACAAGCAAACAGACTTGGGTAGTTTCTGGATGAGACCACATTTAATCGATTACACTACCCAGCCAGCCTAGCTTCTCTGGGCTTGGTAGCCCCCAGCGCCCAGGCTGTGGACTTTGGACTTCTTACCCGCCACTCTGTTGTTTCGGAGGTACAGCTCAGGGGAGGTCTTTGGCCTCACAGATTCCCCCACCTCATTAGAGTGGCAAGGTCTGAAACTGCTTGGGTGAAGTTCTGCTCACCCGGGGAGGCCGTCCTCCTGGGGTGGGGTCAAGTTCACAGTACCGGTTTCTGTGTCCCCGTGTCCTGGCAAGGCCTTTACTCCAGCTGCCAGGAGGTGACTTCAAACAGCGGGACCCAGTGGCAGAAGGCATGCTTGCAGGTGCCCTAAGCCCGAGTATTAAAGATGAGTGTGCTTTTTCTTCTTAGAAAGGGAAGAGTTAGAGAATCGCTTCTAGCTCTTTCTTTCCTGCTCTGGCACGTTTTGCAGTTTAAGTGCAAAGCTGAAAATAGGTTATGGGTGGAGATGCATAGCAATTGCCTGTATTTTCCTCAGGCTTTAGCTGTTGACTGGGCGGAAGTGAGTGTCTTTGGCTTTCCTCTTGGGTTTACTGTGAGTTGCTTCTGTTTAGTGCCGTAGAACCCTCGTGCCCCCTTCCATGGGCCTTGCACAGCTACCTTGTGGGCACCTTGCTTTCCTGACACCAGTTGGTTTCCACGTGGTGACTTTCCATGGGAGGCTTGGCTTGGGCACAGGTCTTGCACCCCAGCTACTCCCTACATGGCTCTTGGGTTTGGCCAAGGCCAGCTGGCCTGCAGAGCTCATATGCATCTCTGTGTTAGTAAAAAGGTGTCTTTATCCAGCCCTGAGATGTTTCAGGCAAGTGTTTCCCAGCACCTCATTTCTTCGGTCCTTGTGTTTGTAAGGAAACACTGAGATTGGCAGTTTTAAATCTTAGTGGAGTAGTAATTACCAGTGTAATTTCTGATGGGGTCATTCTGAATTTGCCCCCTCCCAAACAGGGAGCCCAGCCTCGAATCAAATTAAAAGTAGCATTTATAAAATGATGATTTTTTCTGTCACAAATCCTAAATTATTACTCATCTGTGGTGAGCAATGAGGAGCTTTTTATGAGATTGCATTAAGAGTTCCTTCTACTTACTCAATGGCAAAGTAGTGGGTGACATTTCTGTCTTTGATCTGCTTTAGATGGTTTCAGCTGGTGAATAACAAGCTGCTGAGGTAGTTTCTGATTTCTGGTTTAGTTTTGTTTTCTTTCCTTCCCAGTGGGCTAATGTTCTCCAGATTTCCAAGGTAACTAGTTAGGCATTCTGTTCAACAGATTGACTGGGTATATGATTACAGAAATCTCCTTGTTTCCAGGATGGATGTTTAGTTTCCAAACAGAAAGAATTAGAAAACGAGGCAATTTTCTCTTGTTTTAAAATCTCCTCTAGAATAATTGTCAATTTGTATCCATTTTGAAAGCTTCAGTTGATCATAATTAAAGGAGCATCAGGTATTATGCACAGAATTGTGTGAGGGCGTTGTCCTAAGTGGAGGAAACACAGCAGACCATTACTTTCGAGGACCTTTACTTCATCTTAACCATTTAGTTTTCTGAAAAGCATCCAGACTTTCACATCAGATACTGATGCTGAGCATTCTGAGACGTATGGGACCCTAACTTGATTCTGAGACATATGGGACCCTAACTTGATTGTGTCAGTCTGAGGCGCAGGAAGGGGACCTGAATATCTGCTCCACACCCTGGTTGGGGGCAACGGCTGAATCCCTTGTGTGCTGAGCATGTCCTCTTCTCCTGTCTTTGTTCCAAAGTTTAAAATCAGAATCTATTTACTTTCCGCCTAAGAATGGCAGGTAGAGATTTTACTTATGAAGTTTGGTATTTCCAGTGACCAGGGTCACTTCACTCTTTGGCCCATGTCCAAGTGACCAGATGTCCGAGATGGGAAGGTGGAGCATTGGGGGCTGCTGCTGCCTGTCCTTCTAGAAAGGGCTGTGCCCCATGAGCTTGAAGTCAAATAGTGACTTGTTCCTCTGTGTCAGTGTCCTCCTCTGCTGGGCTCCTCTGCTGAGCCTGCAGTCTTAATGATCAGGCTCCTCCTCTCCAGAATGGGTTGAGCTGAGCCCTCGTCTCATCACTGCCATGTACAAGGGGCACCAGGTTCTGTGCCCTGATCCTACCTGACCTTGTCTGGCATCTGTAGTATGTGCCTCCTATGCTGTGGGTCTGGAGCTGCCGCTGCTGTGTCAGGGACAGGATGGACATGTCCTTGCGCTGCTGGGCTCATGCCTGGGCTGCTGCTCACTGGTGCAGACAACAGAGAGAATGGGATAGCCGTTGGTAATGCTTGATTTCTGCACTCTGCTTGCTCTTGCTGAGCCTCATCTCTCTCTCTTTGCTTGCCACAGGGTGGGGAAACTCCCTCCATTCAGCAGCCTGCTTCCTCGTAGGAAGATCTGAGCCTCTGGCTGTGAAGTCTTCCCTCCTCTGCATCTCTGTCACTCTCTCTCTTGATTTGTCCCTGGTCACAGCCCAGAGGTGGCCTTGGGCATGAGAGAAGACCTAACACACGTGTTGAGATAAAAGTATTTCCCACTATACCTATCAACCTTATGCCCTCCCCTTTCTTTCCTCCCTCCCACCCACCTCACTCTTCCTTTTCCTTCTTAGTTACTTTCTGAGATACAATGCAAGACACCCACAACTTAAAGGAGGAGAGATTTATTTTGGCTCAGTTTGTAGAGATTTCAGTCCATAGTTGGCTGGCTCCAAGGCAGGGTGGCATGACAGAGAGTATAGTGGAGGAGAAACAGTCCGTAGCATGGTGACAGGAAGCAGGGAGAGCAAAGGGAGGAGGAGGGAAATAAACTTTTCCTGGCCATTCCTCCAGTGACCCACCTCTTCCAACCCAGCTTCACCTCCCAACATCACATTTAGCTATAAACTCACGAGTGGACTGATCCACTAATAAGCGTCATGGCCCATGATCCAGTCACCTCCCAAAGCCCCATCTATGAGAGTGTTCTCTCATAAGTCAGTGTCTCTCCCATGCCTCCTCCACCTCTGCAGAGTGCCTAGCTCCCCAGTGCAAATGTGCAGTGCAGTGGTCCTGGGGTGTGCTGGGGGAGCAGACTCAGGAAGGTCCAGGACCAGGGCCCTGAAGCAAACTGTGCAAGTCCAGGCAGGGTATTTTGGCTGTCACAGCTTTCCAGGCAGACTCTGAAGTCAGGCCCGGAGCCAAATTTACTTTCCATCTGCCAGCAGTGATGGAATTCCTAGGTCCCACCACCAGCTTGTGAAAAGAAATCATTCAGGAAACTGCAAGCTGGCAAGTCAGGATCGCAAAGATTCATTCCCTTGAAAGCTTATGCCTGCAAATGTTATTTAACTTTGAGCCATTTCTCCAGGCCTACCTGCTGAGCTCCCTGCTCCTGGAAGTTTGTTTTGTACAGCTGAGTACAGTTCTGTGCTCACCATGAGATCTCATGGGGCACATCAGAGCGTTGTGAAGGGCAGAGGCCCTTCCATGTCCCATACCTCACTCATCCCTGATCTGAGAATCTGCCCAGATGGGGCACTTTGCAGAACTTCATTGAGCCAACATGCATTAGTTCCTTTCCCATTACTGTGGTGAGATACCTGAGGCTGGGTACCTTATGCAGTAAAGAAGTTTGTTTGGCTCACAGTTCAAGGGCATGGCACTGGTGTGGCTTGGCTCTGATGAGGAATCGCCATGGAAGGAGCACGTGAAGGGGAAAGATCTTAGCCGGAGACGGGTGCTCAGAGGGGCCAGTAACAACCTCGGATGAAGCTCCGCCTCTTAAAGTTCCTGCCCCCCCAGCACTGCAGCAGTGAGGACTGGGAAACCTTGGAGCACAAAACATCCTAATCAACAGAATGTAAATGCTTGGCTTTAGTTCCTGACGCTATGAAAAGGACAGTGGCACATCTG